AAAAAATCAAACACATGGAAACTGAACAACACCTTGCTCAAAAACTACTGGGTTATAGAAGAAATTAAGGATGGAATAAAGAAATTCATAGAATCAAATGAGAACAAAACCACATCCTCAATAAAATTCTAGCCAACAGAATTCAGCAACATATCAAAAAAATAATCCACCATGATCAGGTGGGATTTATACCAGGTATGCAGGGATGGTTCAACATTAAAACCTTTGGGACACAGGAAAAGCAGTGCTCGGAGGTAAGTTTATAGCAATAAATGCACACATCCAAAAAGAAGAGCAATAAATGCACACATCCAAAAAGAAGAAAGGGCCAAAATCAAAACATTAACCCTACAACTCGAACAAGTAGAAAGAGAGCAGCAGAAGAAGCCCTTGGGTGCCAGAAGAAAGGAAATAAAATTAGAGCAGAATTAAATAAAATAGAGAATAGAAAAACAATTGAAAGAGTTAACAAGACCAAAAGCTGGTTCTTTGAAACGATCAACAAAATTGATAAACCATTGGCCAAACTGACAAAAGAAAAGCAGGAGAGGAGAAAGAAATGAGATGGGTGATATCACAACAGACCCAACTGAAATTAAGAGAATCGTAACAGATTACTATGAAAAACTGTACTCTAACAAATTTGAAAACCTAGAGGAAATGGACAAATTTCAAGAAACTCACCGCCTACCGAAACTAACACAAACAGAGGTAGAACAACTAAATAAACCTATAACAAAAGAACAGATTGAAAAGGTAATTTAAAAACTCCAGTAGAAAAAAGCCCTGGCCCGGACGGTTTCACCAGAGAATTCTACCAAACTTTCAGAGAAGAATTAACACCACTAGTACTGGAAGTATTTCAGAGCGTAGAAAAGAATGGAATACTCCCAAACTCATTCTGTGTAGCCAGCATTACCCTGATACCAAAACCAGGTGAAGACACCACAAAAAAAGAAAATTACAGACCAATATCCCTCATGAACATTGACGCAAAAATCCTCAACAGAATTCTAGCCAAAAGAATTCAGCAACATATCAAAAAAATAATCTACCATGATCAAGTGGGATTTATACCAGGTATGCAGGGATGACTCAACATTAAAAAAACAATCAATGTAATCCGTCACATAAATAAAAACAAAAGACAAGAACCACATGATCTTATCAATCGATGCAGAAAAGGCATTTGGCAAAGTCCAACAACCCATTCATGATAAAAACTCTCAACAAAATAGGAATAGAAGGGAAATTCCCCAACATAATTAAGGGTATTTATACAAAGCCAACAGCCAACATCATCCT